CTGAGGAAATAACCATGAACAGTTTCCATAAAAGATGCAAATGTTGCTCTCAGCAGGACGGCTCATTACACACTGGAATGGCGTGTTTACAGGGAGGTTTTATCAGCCGCCTGTGATAGTGAGGAAGGGAGTGTGTGTACCCTGAGGGAACGGATTCCCCCAGCCGGGAAATAGCACGCAGCTCTCCGCTGCTGGGGAACGCCCCTTGTCCGCGCTTTCCCCTATGACGTCACCCCTCCGAGCGCGGCCACGGTCGCCTGGGCGCACCCTGCGCGCTCCCGCGGAATCTGCCTGGCACGGTGAGGCCATGGACCATCTGATCGCCAACGTTTCCATGTGGCACACCTGCAGAGAGCCGGTTGTCTGCTGTGGAGATCACAGGAGATGATTGCTGGTCGGTTGCAGAGATTTTCTTAGGCGGTACACAGGTATCGATGTGATCGGTCAGTGTGACTAAAATGATCAGATTGATTAGGAATCATAAAATCACAGATCAACCATTTGAGGTTGATGGGCTGTGGTGGAATTTTATCGATCGTTAATTGAGCGAGTGAATTTGTGCAATACCTATTGATTAAAGGGGAACTCCCCCACTTGATTGCTGGGCTATGTCGAAATTACATATTCGTAGGTTCAGTGTTGGCCTGCTCCCATCTGATGCCTTATCAGGGGGTGACTGTATGAACCAGCAAGAGGCAGCTGGTCACAGTAGTGCATTTGCTGTAGAGCCCCGAATCCTCCTGATACACAGCAATGCATTTGCCATAGAGCACCCCTAATTTTCCTGATACACAGCAATGCACTTGCCAAAGAGCACCCTAATTTTCCTGATACACAGCAATGCATTTGCCATAGAGCACCCCTAATCTTCCTGATACTCAGCGGTGCATTTGCCATAGAGCTCCCTGAATCCTGCTGATGATCCACAGCGGTGCAATTGGCGTAGAGCTCCCTGAATCATGCTGATGATCCACAGCGGTGCAATTGGCGTAGAGCACCCCAAACCCTGCTGATCCACAGCGGTGCAATAGCGTAGAGCACCCTGAATCCTGCTGATAATCCACAGCGGTGCAATTAGCGTAGGGCGCCCCGAATCCTGCTGCCGATCCACAGCGGTGCAATTGCCATAAGTCGCCCCGAATCCTCCTCCATGGCTCACAGTTGTGTATTTGCCGTAGGGTGCCCCCAAATCCTCCATGATTCACATCGCTGGATTTGCTGTAGCGCACCCAGATGCCCCCCTGGTTCACAGCGGTGGATTTGTCATGGTGCATGTGCCGTAGAGCACCCCCGAATCCTCCATGATTCACAGCGGTGAATTTGCTGTAGCGCACCCTGATGCCCCCCTGATTCACAGTGGTGTATGTGCCGTAGAGCACCCCCGAATCCTCCTGGAATATGGACATCAAGCATCTCTGGCTTGCAGGTGCTCTATGGTACTGCTGTGCTGGCAAATGTGATGTAATGTTTGCCCCGGTGAGACTCGGAGAAGTGCGTGGAGGGCTCCTAAGGAAGAAAGATATGTTGGGGGGTTGAATGTAAATGTCTGATCATGAGAGAAGTGTGGGGGGTAGAAGGGCAGATGGGTACTGTGGGGGGTAGAAGGGCAGATGGGTACAGTGGGTGAGGAAGGTGAAGGTTTGCATTAAATGATTATAATACATTGCTTGTACCTGCATGGATCATGAATCTGTGTGTATGGCTCTTTCCCAGAGAGTGGAACTTGTGACTGGTGAGTAATGACTATCGCTCACGAGTCCACCTGTAAACCGCGCCATTGTCACAAGTGACGCTATCTTACTCTTATCAGACCCTAGAAGAGATCAGCCACCCGTAGCAGCTGGGAATGACAAATCCGTGTTTGTTGTGAAGTTTGGAGGCCTCATTTTTTCATTCTATTATAGAATAGACTTGGTTCTGTGCTAAGTGGTCAGCTGGCCATACACCTATTGATTTTTTTTTTCCCCCACTCCATTTCCCCATTCATGCTAAACAGTTTGGATGGGGGTTTCCTCTGTCGGACTAAGTAGCGGACGTCCCGCTGTCAGAACACAAACTGTGGCTGATCGGCTGCAGTCACTGTTCAGCTGGCAATTTTCGGACTGGCTCTTTGGAGAAGTGTCAATTGAAATATCGATTTTTATCAAAGAGGGTGCTGGCTGGACTACACACGGTCAGCCAAAATTTTGAGCAGTGCATAGGCAGCTATTAACATTGAACATTAGCTGCACCCTCATTATGTTCTTGGATAAACTAGCCTCCAAAACCTAAACAGCATTGGAAGGTGCTGTACAGAGAGCCCACAGTCCTGGGCCTGACCCAGTAATCGCTATCCCATAGTGTGCTGGTCCATTGGCCTAGTTCTCCTTATATACAGGTCCTGTGGAGATTGGATCCTCTGACAGTCTAAGAACTAGAAGTCCCTGCGTAAACCTCAGCATGTGAAGAATTACAGGTTGTTCTAGTGTCTTCTATAGCAGGGGTAGCCAAGCTCTGGCCCTCCAGCTGTGGTGAACTACAAATCCCATGATGCATCTCTCTCTGGGAGTCAAGTCTGGCTGTGAGAATCTTGCAATGCCTCATGGGATTTGTAGTTCTACCACAGCTGGAGGGCCGGAGTTTGGCTACCCCTGTTCTATAGAGAGAAACCACCTGAGGAACGTGCAGGGCAGTCACTCCATCTGTTCTTGTTCTAAAATCCTGAATAGTCTACAAGTGGGATATGTTTTTGTGGTATTGATTCGTGTGATTTGTAGTATTTCAAATCTTGTTTCTGTGCACAGTGAACTCCAGTGTGACCTCTGTTATCCTTTCTTTAGGAGATTCGGGTAATAAGGAAATTGTCCATCTAGTTCTAGTACAAAATGCTATATGCTCTATAGCAGTGGTTCTCAACCTGGGTAACCTCAGGACCCATATTTGTCCTCGGTCATTAAGTCGCACTGCAATGGAACGCACAGCCGCGTGGGCTGCTGTGCTGTGATGGAGACCTATCCATATGTGCATTGCTTGTACAGCTCCCATGCGCGCCTGTGGAGTCGCTGGGAGCCAGAATGTGATGTCACTCCAGTTTAGGCACCTCTATAGGACATGCAAGGGAGCTATAAGCAATGCACGTATGGATGAAGCTCCCTCACTGCCATAGCCCAGCCCTCCTTACCTCAAGTCCACACTCTGCGCTGGGCAGCATATTTTGAATAGCTGCTCAGTGTGAGAATGATCAGTACTGCGCTAGGGGGAGGCAGAGGAGCCTCTCGCCTAGAAAAGTGGAAGGCATGCGGCGACCCACTGAGCACGGGTCACGACCCACCAGTTGAGAACCAAGGCTCTATAGGATTGTGATTTCCTAGGTTTAGTGCTTCTGAAGAAGCAGATGGGTGAGAAATGATAGCAGAAGAGAGAGAATGGATGGTACTATAATGGGTTTGTTCTAAGGATGGATTCACCTACTGCACATGTTTACGTCAAACGTATACAATATGGTAAGCCAGCTCATTCGTTTTGAATTGGCTGCCAATAGACCTATGAATGCTGCACTTTTTTAGTGCACCTCACTCTACACATGGCACCCTAATTGCACGTCTGTTGTGTTGTGGCTCCATTTACGCTGGCACCACATCGTGGACGTGTTGCTGCAGCACGAGGGTCAGCACCGTGGGCATGTTTCACAGCAAGGCAGCTCGGCGAGAATGAAAGTGTGACTTTAAGCATGCTGCCCATTGAGGTGCTGTCATATTTACATGTTGGACCACACATTCAATGGTGTCTCTTGCGTCTGCATGCCTGTACACTCTACGCAGATCTGCTGCAACGATCACCTGTGACAGTTTGGTTTTACAGCTATCATTTCACATATTGGGACTTGTTTACACCATGTCTGCTGAGCAGCACATGTATGGTACAGACGGAGCACATAGAAAACAGTTCTTTTCTATATGCCTTCACATCATACTATGGTCAAACGAGCTTCGTCTCTGATGCCATTATTGAATGTTCTGATGAGATTTTTCGCTTGACTGTTTTTGTATGAAATCTACCTGTGTATGGCCAGTTTAAGGCATACATGTACCTTGTGTACTTCTATAAAGCACCCCTGTGTGTTCCTGGCTCACCTGTGTCCTGTAGGTGCCCAGATCTCAGGATGGTGATCCGCTGTGCAGTATGGACCTGCAAGCTCTGCTCCTATCACTTTCTGGTTCAGAGGATTAAAACCCTGGTGGCTCTTACTGGGTAAACAGCAGGTCAAGGATGGTTTTGTCCCCCTTGTGATAGAAAAAACATTAAATCCCCCCAATATTAAAAGCTCCCACATACCTGCACACACAAACACATGGACCTGTATGTGAATAATTGTACAACATGTATTGGTGCACATGCCAGAGAAAAAGGAATGAACCTAAGGCCATCTATTATTGGCTCCAAACTGATGAGCTGTAAAGGATTTTTACGCGTCACCTATAGGCAGTTTTTGTTCGACATTTGCAATATTAGGGCTTCACCTATTCAGTGTCTTTTTTTACTCACCGTAGTCTTATCTTTGCACTAAAATTGATGTTGGGCAAATATTGGGACATAAATTGCAAAGGACATAACTTTATTTACAGATTCTCTGCTTTAAAAAACTTGTTTTAGGGGCAATTTTCAGAAGAAAAAGGAACTGTTTTCAAAGTTGAAAAAAGTAAATCCCTGTAAAGCAATCAATTTTTAAAGGAGAACTATGAGGGGAGTGATTTTCACTCACCTCATAGTTCGAGTCGACGTGTGACAATGAAACTGTCACATCGGCTCAATAGATCGGGAAGTAAGCGAACACATACCGTCGCTCGCTCACTTCTCGATCTTCTCCCTGCAGGGATCACGGCTCCCTGCAGGGATTCCCCTGCTCCGATCCTCCAGCGCTGACTGGCGGAACGGATGGAGGAGGGGCGGGTACAGCTGGCTCTGCCTCTAGATAGGCAGAGTCAGCTGTCAATCACGCAGCTGGGTGGATCTCGACAGTAATGTCGGGATCCGTCACGGCTGTGGTGGTCTCGGTAAGGGGCTCGCGATATACTGAGCTTTGGGTCACGGGAGGACGCTAGTGTATGTCCTCCTGTGACCCTTAGAAGAACTATGGGGAAAAACACTTTCCCCATAGTTCTCCTTTTAAAGCCAGTTGAAGCGTTTCTTCAATTGTTATGCCTTCAATCAATCATTTTGGCTAAACTTTTTTTCTTTTTCACTACCAGTAGTGTCTCCTGTAGTCTGACAAATCCCCTCCACAATACTCCCACCACCAATGCTCGTGCTCCCTGTGCCCCTATGGACCAATGGATGAAATCACAGAAGGCAGTAGGGGATGTCGGCATTCGACTCTCCGAGAAGTGTTGATTATTTTTGCAGGGATTGCTTCTTTTTCTCATCAAAAGTAGCAAGAGTCTCCTTAACCCGCTTAGCTTGAAGCGCAATCGTTGCTTGGAATTCTAGGTATAAACGGTTATTTCTGAGCATGTCCTGGAGGCCACATGTCAGGATGGCAGTCCTGAGGGAGGATTGGTGAACATAGTCACAGCTTGTTCCTGTTTTTTTTTTTTTTTTTTTTTTTAAATCTTTTAATAAACCCGAAAGTTCTCTTTAAGCATTTTAGGTTCGCAGATGTCAGTCTGGCAGGCGGTGGCCAGGAATGTAAACAAAATCAGGACTGTGAGTACTCTACTTGTTTGGAAGCAGTGTGGTTCTAATAGACCTCCTTAAAGAGGACCTGTCACATAAAAAAAACTGCAGTGTGTGTGACCTTTAAAGCTTGGTTTGCTTAAAATATTTTCTAAGAAATTAAGAGGTGTGAATATACTGTGTATATATAAAAAAAAAAATATTTTGACTGAGACTGTCACAGGTTGGCTCAGTAGATCGGGAGGTGAGCAAACACATACCGGCTTTCGCTCACCTCTCGATCCTGTCACGGCTCTCCCCTCTCCAATCCGCCAGCGCTGACTGGTGGAACGGAGGGGGCGAGTACAACTGGCTCTTCCTCTAGATGGGCAGAGCCAGCTGTCAGTCATGCTGTCAGGCTACAGCTCGCGGTATACTAAAATTAGGGTGACGGGAGGACGCTAGTTTGTGCCCTCTCGTTACACTAAGGAGAACTATGGGGAAAAACCTTAACCCCATAGTTCTCCTTTTTTAATAAAGTACTTGAATGCATTAAGATTTACCTTCTGAGTAGTGTCACTTTAAAAGTGTTTGTTGCAGGTTACCCACCGCTGCTATAGGGGTTGTTCGGCCCCCTTGTGAAAAATGAAGGGTGCATGCAATTTTAAGGCTTGACGTCTATTTACTTGACAGTCTCTTTTAAATCTTACTGTAAAAGGGAATTATGTTTGTGGTCACTAAATTTAATTTTAGTGTATATATCCTACAAATATTGTTTTAAAAAAAGTGATATCACTATTTATAGCTACCATCTTTTTTTTCCTACAGGTTCTCTGCTTTCAGAAAATGGTTTGCTCTAAATGTGTATTTAACATGCAGCACATTTTATATGCAACTTTTTTGCATATTAATTTTTTTTCTTCGAGGGAAACCTAATGATAAGGAGGTTAGCAGAGCTGTCCTTTGTGCAGGCCAGATTTCGTCATCCTCGGGGCAAGCTGTCAGTAGAATGCTCCATTTGTTCCAATTTGTAAGGTTGGATCTGTTATGTCGGGAGGAGGGGCACCAGATTATTAAAGGGAACAGGAATGATAAAGAAATAGAGTAACAGTTTCTTACCAAGTACAACTGCAAGTCCTATCTGCAAATTACCAGAAATAAGTTCATTTCTGGGCCAAAACCAGCAGGATCCAATGACTCATCTTGTGTGCTTTCATACAAGTAACTTGGAGTGCATCATTTCTGACCTTCACTTGTTAGTTGCTTAGCTGTAAAGGTGCCCATACACCTGACGACGATTATCGTATGATAATTGCGTGTAATCCCGCGATTGTACGATAATCGACAGTTGTATGGGCAGCGTGCGACCACATTTACTGTACGGTCGCACGACTTTCGTCTTATGAGCACACTAGAAAACCCGCCGAAAATCGTACGATTTTTGGCGGGTTGGTAGCGCGATCGCAAGGTGGAAGCTGCAAGCGCACACTGGCTGCTCAGCTTTGCGATCCTCGGCAAGCCCTTCCCTGAGCGGGGAGTGCTTGCGATGATCGCAAATATGATCTGCCTGTCCAAGATGGCAGGTCGTACGTAATTTTAATCGCCTTACAACCATCGCTCAACAAAAGTTGTGCGATGGCTGTAAGGTGTATGGGCAGCTTAACGCTGATCCTGACCAGTTTATTCTGACCTACTGACCTGGATCACGCATGTACCGATTGAAGTCGGAAAGCTTGCTCTGCTTGATTGAGGTCAGTGGCATATAAAGAAGACAATTGGTATCTTAAGATGTTGAAGGCAGCTTCCATGTTTCTTTTGAGGACCCATCGCACTATGGTGCTGGGGTATTAATGGTCCGCCTACTGTGTAACTGTGCGTATGCTGTTCGCACGCCTTTCCTGCCACTCGATGGAGCTGAGCATAGGAAATGGCTGTGTTCCTCCCCTATATCTAGTGGAAGAAACACCATGCAAACGGCCTTTGCCCAGCGTGTGGCTGGGCAGAAGATTTATGAATCTGCCCCTGTGTGTTAGTATGCATTTTACTTCATGGCAAAAAATGGGCCCTTAGTAAATGGTAATTGAGACACCAAATTCCCCAACTATGTTTAGGAGGTGGAAGCACTGTTCACTTTTACCATTTACTTTATTGCAGCCAACTATTATCCTAAGCTTACATTTGAGAAGTAGAAGTTTGTTTATTGAACTGGTTAATTTTGAAGCAGGAAACAAGTTTATTCTTCTTGAATTGTTTGACTTTCTTTGTAGCTAGGGGAACATTTTCATGTTTGCCAACAGTGCTTAGTTCACTGACATTTGTCGGGTGTTAGGAGGACCCATTTATAACTTACTGAAAGTAATTTTCTACTAAACATGTCATTGCTCATGTTTGGGTCCATAGTACTAGGTTTGTGCTGATGAGAACTAAATAACTACAGATTACTTTTTAGGTAATTCATAATAGGTGGTTAAGTGTTAATGTGTCCTTCTGCCTAGGGCTGCAGCTAATTATCTTCATAATCGATTAGTTGGGCGATTTCTATTTATTTCCACGATCGGATTAAAAAAAAATAAAAAATTAAACACCATCCTTAATTGAAAAGAAAATACACAAATGCAGCGTTGCAAAGTTTACTTCAGAATAAAACTGCAGGCACACTTTTTTTTGCAATTGCACCACTGGAATGCATGTCTTTGTAGTATGCCTTTCAGTGCAGGTGATCACACTGGGTGGGAGACGTTTTTGGGGTGCCATTGAAAAGAATGGCACTGCAACGCACCTCCCGCAGCAGAATCTGCCAGGCTGAAAATTACTTTTTTTTTGCCCACCTTTTTAAATGTATTATAAGCACGTGTCGCTTGAATAGCTTCAGCCAGGGAATGACCGCTGCCAGTGGCAAGATTCCACAGACGGCAGCTGAATGCAAATACAGCAGGTAGTGGTGGGCTGCTGCCATAGTCCGCCTATTTGGCCATTTCTAGGGCTGCAGCTAACGATTATTTTCATAATCGATTAGTTGGCCGATTATTAAGTTCGATTAATCGGATAAAAAAAAAGGCTCCAGTGATTGACGACTAGTTTGTGTTAAGATTGTAGTCCATCACGGGAGCAAGCTTGGCGCGGTGGAAGTAAAAAAAAAATGTGGTGTGCAATATAGTACATTATACAGCGACACAGTGCAGAATACCAGCAGCTATAGAGGAATGTAGCAATAGTACATTATACTATAATGTAAATTTCAAATTGCAATAGCAGGCTGACTATTGCAACTGCCCTCTGCTTGCTTTGTCCTCCTCCCGGCATGGAGAGAGCTAGGGGATCCGACTAATCGATAATGAGAATAGTTGACAATTCTCATTATGAAGTAATCTATTAGTTGGTTGCAGACCTAGTTCTGTTCTGATGGCTCTTAAGAAAGTTGGGGCCAGTTGGCATCCTTTTAGATATGACATGGCCGCAAATGGTAACAGACTACCCAGCATGGGGCACTTCTGTTCATCAATTAGGTGTTGTAGTTCAACAAGCCACTCTGTTGCTGAAAAGAAACCTCTACTTGTGACAACATGGAGGCTGCTTTTGCTGATCTCCTGAAAATGCCAGTTGTCTGGCTGTGTGACTTCACTACTTTCTGCACTAAGGACCCAGAACAAGCATGCAGCAGGTGAAGTATTTCACTTCAGGACTCCTGTTTTGGCATGCTTGTTTTGGGTATTGAATTATCATGACAGGCAGGTAACTTGTTCTCATAAGGAGAGCTCAACAGTAACTGCTTTTTTGTATTTTTATTTTTTCTTGCTATTGGTTTCCTTGAAGCTTGTCGGAGTTCTGCTGGACTAGTGTTTCAGAAGAACCATGTTACCTCCACTTTAAATGTGTGATCGGATATGCTTGACCCTCCTATATGGTAAAGGCCTTGCCATATAGAAGGGTCGGGAATACCTTGTGTTACAATCAGTGGAGGTGGATGGTGCTTTCATCTTCCTGTTTGCAGGCTCCTCTGGGCTTTCTTCTCACATAGGGCACAGTTTTATGAAGCATATTACTACCTTTGGTCTCACATGCACTTCAGAGCATAAACACATTTTTGATCATCTGTGATTTTTGTCCTTTTTTGTTTCAAATTTTGCAATAACATTGAGGTGTGTGGGGTTTGTGTTGGTTTTTTTGGTCATTTTTAATAGGCCTTCTTAAGCTGCATGAAGTAGAAGTCGATGCACACGTTTTGTCTGTGACATCCTTGCTCCTAATATTTGTGCCTCACTTCTAACATTACCGCTCTGCAGCCAACATTTCACTCCCAAACTGGGAAATAGTTTTGTGGGCTGTATTGGTACCACCGTAAATGGCAGCCATACTTTCTATTGCCACCACAACTATAATGTATTGAAGGCAGAACCCTTCAATGACTCGGTGATATTAAAGTTAAAAGGTTTTTAAGTTAATTCAAATGCTGATTAAATCACTGACAGTGGATGCGGCTCATTGATGTTAAATGTTTGTTTGCTGCAGTATCAGCAGTTCCCTTGAGCACTGGCCCTGATATCCTGTTATAGGGCTCCTTTCCCTTGCAGGCTCATATGGAGCTACCCCTGTGTCTCCCACAAACACACAGGTACAGCAGGGCAAGGCAGAATGTTTGGGTATTTAATACTAATTTCAGCACCACTTTTCCTGCCCATAGAGGTTGACTGACAGCATAGTTCTTGCCTGTGTCATGTCTGAGTGGGCAGACCTCCTACCAGTGTCATTTAGAACCTCTGCACCAATCCCTCCCTGCTGGGTTCATTTGACCTGAGCTTAGAATGGAGTTTTTGTTTTTTTTTCTTTTCATTGGTTTCACAGATTGTGTTTTTTTGGGTTTTTTTTTTAATGCATTTATTTTTCTACTGAACGTCACTTTTCCCTTAACTTTTTCTTAACTGTAGCACCCCAATTTCCACTTTAATGGAAGAGAACAGATTGCTTGTGTTATTTTTAGGAGTGCAAAACTGCATTGCACTGTAATTTTTTTGGGGGTCTTCAGAAGGCAACATTTCTACACCTAAAATGAAACCGGTACAAAAACAAAATTGGAGGTTGCCGTTGCGGACTTGCAGAGGCTTTGTGCCTTAGGCCCGTGTCACACTTGCAGTCCTTTCACCTGCAAGAACATAAATCGCTAAGATTCACAGGGAGAACATTCACCTACTTTTTTTGTTGCTTCCTCTCCAGCTGGATCAGCGAGGCTGAAAATGATGCAAAATACCAGCAAGAGAATGACCTGCCACTCATCTAGGTGGTCGAGGCAGTGACGCATGCAAGCAGGTGTTTAACCTCCCTGCTGTGTCCTCCATAGTTATCCTGCAGGATTGGTAGTGTGACATGCCTAATGTCCCTGACCTAGAAAACGATGAATTCCTAATTGTCTTGTCCCAGGTCAGGGGATTTAATAAAGATAGCCAGCTACTGTTTGGGTGATTCTGTCCTAATGGCTTCAACATGTAAAATAGAAAATGAGCAGAAAATGTCAAATGTTAACAATAGCGACCTATTTCCTATTTTATGGAAACATTCTAGAATAAGATAGACTAACCTCACAAGACAAAGTGCTCTACCTTCTTCCTCCTCCTCCAATGTAGTTATATGGAACGTCGGTGCACAACCAAGGCTTCGTCATAAACAGTAGAAAAGTGTTTGCACATGATCCAGTTAATTTTTTATTCAAGTCCAAAGCCAGACCTAGCATTCCCACTAATGCGTTTCACCCAAAGAGGCCTTAAACATAGCTGCTGATTAAGGCCTCTTCTGGCTGTAACGCATTAGCTGACCAATACGCCTGGCTTTATGCCTTGAAGAAAGAGGATTTCAACTTGTAAGATACAGAACTGTGTGCAAACACTTCTTCTTCTTCTTTATTTTTTTTCTTCCTACTGTTTACGATGAGATCTAATATTTGTGGTTTCTCTGGTCAGCAACTCCAATTTTATGCTCCTTTTTGTCCCCTAGTTTTTGATGTATCACGCCTAAATGTAGAAGGGCTGGACAGATCCAGACGCCAAATAGCTAGCATTGCAGGTCAGGAGTAATCAAAACCTTCAGAAGACCCAATTTTTGTTGTTTTTTTTTTAAGATACTTTTTATTGGTGTTAACAATTGTTATACAATTTATACACAAACAAAATAACCAGACAACCGGGTTACAATAATACAGGAACAATTGTCGCACATTTGTGAAGTTTTGGTTTGTACTTTAGCTTTTTAGCTGCTTTGGATACCAAAATTACCAAATTAGAAACTTTCTTTCTAATATTTTTGTGTTCCAATAATGAAAAATGTTTTTTTGTATCCCTTCCAACAAAGTTTAAAAATTGTTTTCTGAAATCCATGTTCATTTATCACTTATTTTGTAACAAGTAGCACACTAAGCAGATGGAGGCTCACTGCCCATGTATGTTCTGTTGTACTGGAATTGATTAAAGCCCATTTTCACCTTTTGCAGAGGTATTCTTTTAAAAACATAACCCAACAATGTACTCTGAGTGTACATGTAGCAGGCATTTGCTTTATATGAACACAAACTTGCTTTGTTTTTTAGTTGTCCTCTCCATCTCCTCATAGCTCCTTTTGAAATGACTCTGTGCTCTGCACAGTGGGGAAGTACAATGAAGGGTATGAAAACGACATTTCCCACAATGCCATGCTTCCCTTGTACACAAGCTTCTCCGTAGAAACTGATTCCCCCTATTCATTAATATTTATAGTGACAGCGCCCTGTGGACAGTGCAGATTGACCTTGTGATGACTCCCAGGGAGGGAGTTGAGCTCCGTGTCTGGTCTTCCCACAGCTTCTCCAAGTACCTTTCTGATCCGTCTCCCAGGAACGCAGGGTGATTGGCACCCGTGTGGATCAGCAGAGTGAGCATAGCCCATTTGTTGCTGCCTGAGAGAAGAGGAAATCTTGCGGGCAATGCATAGCAGTGACTGAGTCCTTCGCTGCTTTATAACCAGTACATGAGTCTGACCCCAGGGTTGGACTGATCTTCCTGTAGAGGGAACCTTTAACTTGTAGGACTTTGACCCACTAAAGACTCCAACAAAGTTAATAAAGCCTGCAATGTGAGGCCTGAAATATACACATGTATACATCATCACCGCACCTCTACATTAGCGCAATAAATGCTAATCGCCTACAAAGGTGGAAATGGGCTTGATGGTAACATTAAAATAAATGCAGCGGTTAGGTTTTTATCTAACTTTTTGTTTTTATATTTTATTTTACAGAGCGGTTGGTAAGACTTGTTTGCTTATAAGTTACACCACCAATGCATTCCCTGGAGAATACATCCCAACTGTGTAAGTAAAAACAAAGCCTATAATCATTGAACTTTTTATTAATTTGACTGATTTTTTTTAAAGTGGACCATTCAGTAATTGTACAAGTCTGTGTGACTAAATTCCTGACATGTTGCCATATTCTGCAATAGTATTCCATTGTGAAAGAGCTGTGCATTGTAATATGACAAAGGAGTCATTGAGCTTCAGTTTAGTACATTTTCACAGGCTGAAATGATGTAATCAGTCTGCTGCAGGCGGGAGGAAGCATTACCTCAGTCTCCTCTCACCCAGTGATCACACTACAACATTATAACTTTGCAGAATATCATAAAGTGGGAAACTGCAACAAAGATCCCTACTAACGGAACAGTCATCAGGATTTACATGACTGTAATCTCAAATCTCTATCGGTCCAGGAAGTAGATGATGTCACTAGTTAGTGCTTGAACCAACCTGAGTCCTTCTGAAAATAAAATCTGATGAGGGCCATGTTGGAGAGAGTAGTACTGTTATCACTGAGAGGTAATACATACGTGTAAGTGCTATTTACACAGTACGTGGCATGTATCCATTTACTATGGAAATATGGGATGTTAGGCCTTCCCTAAACAGGCTTTCGGGAGGACCCGTTTTTTTTCAGCCGATATCCCCTAACTTTTTAAAATAAGATTTCCTAAACATTTTGTTTCTTGTGAACATATAACTTATTTCCATTCCAAATTCAGATTTGACAACTATTCTGCCAACGTTATGGTTGATGGGAAGCCAGTTAACTTGGGCTTGTGGGATACAGCTGGACAAGAAGATTACGATAGACTGCGTCCATTGTCTTATCCACAAACGGTAAGGATTCGCATTTTTCATCTTTTGGACTGTGTGCGAGCATAGTAAAGGCACATTTTATGTAATGCGCCCTCAGTCAGTTCTCAGTCAGATGTAATTGCCTGTGCCTCCAATGTATATCTTATCTATAGGGTCGCACAAGCAATGTAGTTAATGCTGCCCATGGTCACTGCCATAGTGCAGAAGGCTTTCTGTCCTCTTCTGTGTCCTTGATTTATTATACTAAGGGAAGCAATGTATTCATGTGGGGGCCCCCTTTTTTTTTTTCTCTCCCTTCCTCCCTCCTGTTCCTTTTCTTGCACAGCACTTTTAGGTGTGGTTAAGGTAAATATAATTTCTATTATAAACAAGGCTTGGTGGCTGTTTGGCCTGTGCGTCATTGTCTGGCCAGTGTGTACATTGGGCCAGGTAAACATTTTTTAATACTGTAGTTGTCATATACAAACGAAAAAGAGCATATGCGTATAGAATATATCATTGGCTTCAGATGGTTCCCTAGCAAATGCTAACCATCTCGGGGGGGGGGGGAGGTGACTCTATCTAAAAATGTTAAGTAGAGTGGCTGCTTAACTGATCCAAGCTGTTCTCTAGACTGAGCTTCTCTGTTGACTTCCTTTTTATTTTTTCTATCTCTCTAAAAAGAGGAATTGTAATAAATTGGATCTGCTGTAAATGGATTTGAGAAGTAGTAAAACCCAACTTCCATACCATTAAGCTCCACCTGGCTTGTATAGGTCTGGTAGCACATCGGTGAGCTAAGCTGCTGATTGGCATTTGAGTACGCCAAGCCAAGTTCTCATACTGATTTGTGATTTGGCGGTAACAGGTGATCAGTATGCTATTGCACAGTAAACATTAAAAATTAGGCTTTTAAAATGCACCAAACCTTCATTTCTTTTCGAGGCATGAATCTTGTACGGTCTTAATGCACGGACCGTTGCTCTTTAGAAAGCAGAATTTACTGCCTCTATCCCTCAACCAATTCTGTTGTCCTGAGGTTTGTGCACAAGGTCTTCTTTCTGAAAATACTTCATTAATGTGTATAATTGTCTCCTTTTTAAAGGGAGCTGAGGTTAATTTGAAGCACTAAAATCTGCTTTTGAATCTAAGTATTTCTTATTAGGCTTTAAGCCCGAGCCCCCCAGCTTCCAATGTTTCGGTGAGTTAATTAATACCTGCTGCTAGCGGAGAGGTCTGCAATTCCTTCGTCCGTCCGGCCGTGCGTGCCACCTTCTGTTGGTGTGGGTTGCAATTTGCAGAGCTTATCACCTTGCTTGCAAAGCACAATTAATGCTTTTCTTGTCCCTTTTGATCTACAATCTAAAACACCCTGATAAAGGGAAATATAGAGGAAGTGGTAATTCGGTGTCCCATGTTATGTTTTCAATGTATTTGTCACGTCCTGATTCTAATTGAATGCACTTTTTTTTTTTTTTTCTTCCGCAATCCTTTTTGTGCTGCAGATCAATTTTTGCAGCAGCATCAAAGAATAAAGCAAATGTTGGAATTACTTGTTAATGTACCACCTGCCTTTTATCTTGTTTTTAGGATGTGTTCCTAATTTGCTTCTCCCTTGTGAGCCCAGCTTCATTTGAGAATGTCCGTGCGAAGGTAAGCATATCTTTTTACTGGGGGGTTTCACACTCCAGGAATGTGGGGATGTTTATATGCACGGGGGTGGGGGGGTAGTTCAGAGCTTGCTGAAAAGAATTGGTGTAAATAGTGCATAGACTTAAATGGAGATGTTTGGGCTGCTTGTCTGACGTCTGCCATGGCCGGGGTCATTTTGTTAGTCTTAAGCTGTATATTGTCTATGAAGACGTACGGCAGAATGTTTGTTCTTTTTAGTTTTAGCTGTGGGTTGAATGACGTTTACTAGATCTGCCGTTTATGCAATCATGACTTATTCGGTGCACATTTTTAAATAGTGGTACCCAGAAGTCCGACACCACTGCCCCAACACTCCCATCATCCTTGTGGGCACAAAACTTGATTTGAGAGATGATAAAGACACAATTGAGAAGCTGAAAGAGAAGAAACTTACACCCATCACTTATCCTCAGGGACTTGCCATGGCAAAAGAGATTGGTATGGTTTTATTCTGTTACTTAAAAAATATTATTCCAGGTTTCTGTATTGCTTCAGTCTAAATAGACTAAGCACATGTTAATGTCTTTGTTTTTGTTTGTTTTTTTAAATTTAAAACTTATGACTGGTGAAACCGGCTTTCCGGCATAGCAAAATAATGACGCGTGTTTTATTTTAAACCTCGTTCTGTCAATCTCTTTTTTTGTGACATCAGGCTAGGAACAAGTTTTACAATCCCTCCATCTTAAAGATCTAGCAAAGCTTTTGGCTTCCTAAAATTCTGTGTATTCTGGTTTCTTATGTGGGATGTTTTAAAGAATAGGGTTTTATTTCTAAAACAAACCTTTTACAGGTTTCTACTCCCACAAAAAGCAAACGGAACAGTCAGAAATGTAATTCGATAAAATGTAAAGATAACCTCAAGAGACAAAGTACAACGACGAACATATGTATTGATCTGTGTGTGGGGTGGCTTTTGTTTTTGTTTTTTTATATTTGATTAAAGGTGGATTCGGTATCATGTTACAATATCTACTGCCCTTCACCTGATTTCTGTTCTGCTCCAGAATCTGAAATGTCCTCTTTTATATAGGTCCATTATCCTAAAGTGAACCTGTCCTTTGCCCATGAAGTGTAGAGGATGTTCAGTTTAAAGCTAGCCTCTGCTACGGCTTACATTTTGTCTTCCCATTGCTAGGGGAAAAGGGCTGTCTTGGTCCAATGCTGTCTTGTGGCGGAAAGCACTTGGCTTTTTTTAGGAGGCCACCAAGGGCAATCGCTAATGGGGGTTATTCACTAAAGGGTGAAGAGTTTGGAGAAGGCAGGGGAAGTGAACAATCTAGGACAACATTGCTGAACTGGAAGAATTCACCAATTCAGATCACATTCCGGTTCAGCGTTGTCCTAGATCAGTGGTGGCGAACCTTGGCAGTCCAGCTGTTCCAAAACTACAAATCCCAACATGCATCTGCCTCTGGGAGTTATGTCTGTGGCTGTCTGAGCCTTGCAATGCCTCATGGGACTTGTAGTTCCAAGACAGCTGGAGTGCCAAGGTTCGCCACCACTGATCTAGGACAACGCTGAACCGGAATGTGATCTGAATTGGTGAATTCTTCCAGTTCAGCAATGTTGTCCTAGATTGTTCTTCTCCAAACTCTTCACCCTTTTGTGAATAACACTCTATTTCTTTCATGACAGGTGTTTAGCAGATGCTGTTCTCTAGACAAATATTTAGGAAGAAAAGGAGAGAAAGTGAAAACAAGGCAAAAATAAAACCCAGTAACAATCTGTCAGTGAATCTTTGTTTTCCTGATGGTTCCTAAGCACAACAGTGTCTGTAACCCTTTGTCCCCCAACAACAAACAGAATATCTTGCAACTTAAGTGGGACACAGACAGGCTTCAGACTTTAAAAAAAAAAAACAATGTTTATTATCCTTACCTTCCCCTTTAATTATTTTTTTGCTCTTCAGTGCCAGCTCAACTTTAAGGTTTGAGCTTTACAGTTTATCCTTCATGTTGTATGGCCCTGATAGTATAAGAAAAGAATAGGTTAATCGTTTGGTGATTTGCCCTGCTGGTTTCCTTCACATAGTTTCAGACTTTGTCATTAGAATGACCCAGGACTGTGTTTGCACAAATGTCAATAATAGAACAAGGAAGTGCATTTTGCAGTCATTATGTCTCCAAAGACTTGCCAAAGCTCGGGGGCGTTTGTCAATATTACCTTTTTGCCTTTTAGATGTTCATTACCAAATGGGAAATCCCCAGAAACAGAGGGAAATGATTCTTTCTTTGGCTTTCTTACAGGTGCCGTGAAATACTTGGAATGCTCCGCACTTACACAGAGAGGGCTGAAGACTGTGTTTGATGAAGCAATAAGAGCTGTTCTCTGCCCACCACCAGTGAAGAAGAGGAAGAGGAAGTGTCTGCTTTTGTAATCCTTGCACTCCTTCTCCTTCCCCAGACTCGAAAATGCCAAGCCCCCCCCCAGTCCTATTTGTAAGAATTCATTCTCTGCCTATAAAATCTTGAATATAAAAATCCATTTAAGTGACACATCTTTTTCGGACTCTACTAAAACCCTTCCTGAATGATAGATCAGTCCATTTAGCCTTATTCTTCTGAAAACGGTTTTCTCCTTTTTGCTTGAACTAATTAAATGTTGCCAAAACGCCCACTCCGCTCAGTTTCTATATTTTCTGCGACAAACATGAGCCATTAAATCTATAATAGAGACATGACTTTTTACTCGGATCTGATTTTCTGGATGGAGGAAAACAAAAAAAGAAAGAAAACTGACAGTAGGCGAGAGCCTTACTGCATATATTAAACATTTATTAATCTTAATTCACTGTATTGCATTGTAAATCAAATTGTTATTTAGGAATGTTAGATCAATTATGTATCTTTTTACTGCTTGAGTTCAGAATAAAGTTTTGGTTAAAGGGCACTAATCTGCTCTTTCGGACGAAAACTATTTAGGCAAAAATTTAAAATAGGTTTCAGGATTTTACTAGCGAACATAAGCAACAGTATTTAAAAGTGACACTACTGCTATGAGACTAATTAAAAAAAAAAAACAATAATTTCATATTGAAAACACCTTTTTTTTTTTTTTTCTTTCTAAAGGCTGATTTTTAGTGCTTGCCCTCCATTTGTTAACCTGCATTGGAGGCCTGTGTGAAGCCTGAGACAGGCGTAGGTGGGTGCAGCCAGCTCTGATCTGAGCTTAGGCTTGATGCTGCCCTCTTCTACCCGCTAAGCAATTGTGAGCTAAAGGCTGTATCGCTCAGCAACGTCCTTCATTAGTCATTAGAAAGTGAATGTCCTTTTCTGGAGATTCTTTTTACCTTAAGAGCCTGTTTTTGTATAAGGCTTGGCTCTTTTTGAGCACTTCTGTGTTTACTGCTCCTGGGCACAATGTGCCAGGGGAAACAAATTAGCTGCAGGTTCTATGCTGGCTACATGAGTCCTTACACTCACTGAGCTTGGCGTTGGATTTATCTTCCAGCATCCTAAGGAGCATGTACTTTCAGCTTGGTGTCCATAGTTATGGACATTCCGTCTGCTATAGAGGACCTTTTTAGCTATGGCTGGTTCCTTGCAGACTGAACAAAGAGGGACTTGGATAGGTGCAATGAAGAGCTCTAGTATGACAGCCATAAGATGTGTTAAAGTGCAGTAGAAACGGTTGCTCTTTGAGTATTTTTTATTTCAGGTAATCCCCCACCCCACTTTTAACAGACCATTTGTTTCCCTCCTGGAACAGCCAAACGCTTGGGGTATCATGTCTTTGGTTGATGTATACGGAATTGTTCCGAGTTACATGGTAGTGCGGTTTTGTTATGATCAGCCGATGCATATGTGCCTGTCAGACAAGAAAAGGGGGTGGGGATGGGGCCCTTATAGGTTACAACCATCATTCCCACAGATAATATGCACAAGCTTTCTATGTTGGCTTGCTCGTAGAATATCTTGTATTTTAATATCTTTCTAAATATTGTAGCTTTGGAATTTTTTGTAGTTTATGGGAAGTTTTTTTCCTTAATGTTATTTTGCTTAAACGTGTGCGTTTCATGACCTTTCCTATAACACTAGGTGTACAAATCATGTGAACCTGCTATACACGGTAACCCTTTTTATGTTATCTTTCTTTTTTTCTTATACTCTCGCCTATTATATATAACCATACCTGACAGGATTAGTAATGCCTGCTAATTCCTACTGTCATCTTTCTTTCCCCGCCCCTGTGAATTGATTTTATTATTTTTTCTTCTATTGGTTCTGTTCCATAGGGTCTGTGAGGTCTTAATTATAGAGCAAGTATTAATAATGCACACCCCACAACTAAACACTATGAGACATGACCGATGCCTCAACCTTTCTACAATGAACAAATTCAAAGCGCATTTGAGAATGTTGCAAAAACAAACAAATTGTGAACAGTGTTTTTACATTGATCTTTTGCTAATGCAGTTTAGTGTTTTACATGCATGTTTGAATTAATAAATCCTTAAACTACAAAACGTTGTCTGGCTTTTTTTTTAACTAAGTTTGTGGTTTGTGGTCTTTTTTGTTTTGCGTAGTGCGAGTTACAGTTCTGTAAATTTCATGGGGAATGATTGCATGTAGCTACTTCTGGAAAGCCAATCCGGTGTATCAATTTTTTTTTTTTTGATTGCTGCATTGTAGACTTTCGGTCCTCTACACATGTTGAAATTGTTTTCTGCATTTTCACTGTTTCAAATGAAACTCCTTTTTTATTTATTTTTCTCTTAATGATGAGGATTTTAGCACACTATTGTTGGCACATTCCTGCTTCTGGTTTGCAGATATGTGAAGCACTCTGTAATTGCCCAATGCAAGCTCCTTCCTTTTACAAGGATTGTATTTGCAATCCTGAGATAGGTCGGTGTGTGTTGTGTGTATTACAATTTGCAACCCTGTGTTACCTGTAGATGTGCAGTGTTACCAAAGCTGAAGCTCCCAGTTTATTATAAGAAGGAAACTGCAGTGTAGACCTGTAATCTGACATCTAGCTCTGTGCAGACTTGTGTGATGGATGGCTAATTGCAGAAACTATTTCCCTAAATTCTCATGTATGCGAGTTCTGTTCTGATGCAAGGCAGAGACGCTTGGCAGTTTTAGGGAAATAGCCGACTAGGTCATTTTATAATCGCAGTGTTTAAATTTTTTTTAACCAGATCTGGATGTTTTTTGATCTGTGCAAGGACATTTTAGGGCTGTTTTCTAGCTCCAACTCGCTGCTCTTCCTACCCTGCCCCCTCTTATTAAGATGATGCATTTCCCTGGGACTGTTGCCCGGGAGACAGGCTGTGGTGCATTCTGGGAGCTGTTTGTGTACTTCACAGCACAGAAATCTGACCTGAGATCAGAATAGAACTGCGCTGTTGTGACCTCATGAATCTTGCTGTGTCAGCTTCTCTGGATGTACTCAGAAGTGCAATGGACTAAATTTAAGGAAATTCCCTGTTAAGATGGCCTACAGGGTTTAGTATTTAGGCTTTTGTGACTCCATTTGTATATGCCTGTAAAAGGGGTAACCAGCAGCAATTTGTATGTCTGTGAAGAAAGGCTGCATCCTTCTCTGTACAGTTGTATAGTGACAGTCTGTCTTTGGGGGCAGCCAGAGTTTTCTAAGGACACAATGAGCTTCCTCTCATTTAACATACAATGCAAGAAGCTGAATATCTATCTTTAACCCTTTGTTAGGACACAGTGGTCACATCTAGTTTACAACAGATCGTGATCTCACAATACAGACGGTTAATTATGGTGAATTGTAACCTTCCTATCCCCCTTGTATTGCCTAGGGAACATTCTGATCAAAATTCTTTCAGAGTAAATACAAGCAGTATTTTTTTTACATTTTTAAAACTCTATGATAATGGGAACATGTAGCAAATACACTGCCTGGTCACGCAAGTAAATATTTTTTTGGACTGCATGTAGCGTTGATTGTGGTATGCAATTACCATGGCATAGTTTATGCAATATCACAATTATTTCCATCCAGTATTTCCAATCCATCTTTTTTCACAAAGATCTTGTAGCGGTAATGGGTGAGTCGGACCTCCTGTGTAAAGACCCAAAGAGTCTCAATGGGGTTAAGGTCTGGACTAGCTGCAGCTAACGATTATTTTCAAAATCGATTAGTTAGGGGGCGTGGCCGGGATGTGAGACTGAGCAGACGTGTCTCACCGCAGCTCCCGACATCCGTGCTACATCCTGACCCTTAGCTAGCTGACAAACCGGCCGAAATACTCACCCAGTACTGTCGGGTGATCCGGTGACTCCTGCCTTCTTCTTGATGCGGACCAGGAGACGATCGACCCGGTCCCGAGCGAGCGGTGGCACTCCAGGCCGGCCTGCTGACACGTGCGCCGGCGCCATCTTGGCTGCACGAGCTGCTTCTCTCACCTCTGCAGGCACACAGACGGCGGTGTGGGACGACATGGAGACGGATCCTGTGACTACTCCTGTAAGTGAAGCCCCCCTGTCCCCCCACTCCTCTCAGGACATAAACCCCCCAACTGCTACGATTGCTATACTAGCGGCCATAGAGGCTAGTAAGACCACCCTCATGGCCAGGATGGACACTTTAGCGACCGAATGTGGCCTGATCCGTCAGGATTTGGATAAGATGAGGGGTCGCATAACCACTGTGGAGACACGTGTGGGGGAGTTAATCGGTCTTACAACGGTCATGGGGGGAAGGGGGGTTGGCGGTCCCCAATTTTTACGGCTATTTTTTGGCGGGACAACTGACGTTTGCTCATAGATGGCTCACGGTGGGGGACCAGGATCCAGCAGTCACCTTGGAGGCTGCCTTGGTGGGCTCCTATGAAGCTCTGAGACATTTGGTGTACCGGGGCCATCACTCCCCCTACCGTCAGACACCTTCTATGAGATCTGTCATGAAAGCCTGGAATGTAGTCGGGGACCGAGTGTCAGTATCTCCCCAGACTTTCTCCCCGCATACTCCATTTTTAAATGGCTCCAGTAATGGACTACTAGTTTGTATTGAGATAGTAGTCCATCACGGGAGCAAGCTTGGTGTGGTGGAAGTAAAAAAGTGTGGTGTGGAATATAGTACATTATACAGCGGCGCAATGCTGAATACCAGCAGCTATAGAGGAATAGAATAAATCGCAGCAATAGTACATTATACTATACTATTGCTGGCATTTGTTGTATTATATTTAGCTGCTGGTATTCTGCATTGCGTAGTATAATCATTATTCAGCGCACTGCAGAATACCACCAGCTATAGAGGACTACAAATCCCAGACTGTTTAAAAATAGGTGCCTCGATTTGGCTGCAAACTATTAAAGCACTTTAAGAGTACGTTGGATGCTTGTAAATATGACTGGGGTATATGGGCTTCTGACAAGTATACTGGGCAATGGTGAACACTTTCTGGTAAAATATTTGTTGGATTGAAAGCCATTTGACAACCAAGTTTTAAATAAGTGCACTTATTGTCTTATGCCTCCGCATTGACATAACGCAGACTTAACTAGAACCCCGCTTCCCTGGTCAGTGCTACAGAGCCTTTATTCCAAAATGTAAATCCTGCAGAGCTGTGCCCAGTCATGCCACTTACAGCCTCCATTTACTTGAATGGAAAGCCTGCCTATCAAGTTAGGGAACAGACTTTTCATGGACATACAGTATATGAAGTCAGTAAATTTTGGGACAGTGGCTGTCCAGCTCCAGGCAGACAGCAGAGGGAAGATGGAATAAAAAAAAGGTATTGGTGCATCCCTACTACAAACCCATTTCCCCAAGACCGAGTACCGATACTTTGCCTCAAGTACTTGCCTATACCAATTTACTGATGGCACCAAAAAAAAAAGCGGTGACAGTTTTTCTAAAACAATACAGACTAATAATTATAGGAGAGTGGTGGAGCGCCTGGGCCCCGGCGTAGCTGCAAACGGCACC